ATCGAGCCATTTATACAACTGGCTCGGTGACCACCAGTTTCTTTAGAGTCTATTTCCGAGTTTCATGGTTTCATTTCAACGCGTAACTATGTATATAAAATTCAAAAAGTTTTCTAATTATAAACTTAAATAGGGTCTTATGTTAATTGACCTGATGCCAAGAAACTACACATAATAATTAATATCACTCTAATGCAACCCGCAGACTATTTTATTGTTTAAAAATTAACTTGCAAAAAGACTTTGAAATGCAACTACTTAACTCAAAATTCTAAATTCAATACCCGAATAAAGTAACAGTTGCATTTACAGAAACAGTAATTATTGACAAGCAAAACTCGACGTTACTTCCGTAGACTTATTGACTAAAATGTTCACTTTCGCTCACAAAATGATAAAACCGGTGTGGTTACCGCACGGTATATGCAAACTTCGTCGCCGGAACTTTTTTCTTGCACCGCCAACGCCACCTGCTGGAGTGCACTTAATGATGTAAAAACACATCAGATGACACACAGCACTAGATATGCAGTAGAACAGGACCATTTACATAAAATAATAATTTTTAACACGACTGTAAGAAGGGTATTGTTTTATAACTGTCAAAAAGATGGGAGTCCAAAAAACAACTACTATTAAGTTTGCCTAATATTTCGAGGCTAAACGAAGCATTCAAACCAAATTCCCATAGCTAAACTACGATAATCTATATTCAACAGTAAGTCAACAGCATTATTTATTACACAAGTTTATTAATTTGCAAACACAACAATAACAACTGGCTTGACCTGCGGCCATCTTGGAACTGGGTCAACACCTTACAGCTCTATGTAAACAGTACTCCGTGGCCCCATGATCCGCCATATTTATGAAAATGTATGTGCATAGTAATTAGTGAAGGCAGTTGATGCCGCGATTGAGTGACCTGTTGGCCACTGTCTTATGAGTAGCTTGTACTTCTGTATAAAAAGAATGTATTTGACGTGGTTGTACAAGACAATTTAATATTAACTAACTTCAGTGGTTATTGTTTTAGCCAAGGACTGTTTTTCAACATCATTTTTAGCCATAAGTTTTTTAAAAACGACACACACTAGCATTATCTACTGTGCCGTGGGTGCGTTTAAAAACATACAAGTTGATATACACATCCCACCCAGACCCGAAACATCAATTTATAGAACACACAAAGAATTGTTGCGTGCGGAAATCAAACCCGCGACACGTTGCGCGGCCACCGCATACACCTACAAAGACAAAACTCTTATAGACCCTTTAAGGCATTGGCTGCCAATAAAAAACTGTTGAAGGCAAATCCTCCGCTAATGTCGGTCACCGGTGACTGCCATGGCGTTTAACGTGTTAAAAGTTGGTCTGAGTAAAGAAACAAAACGTCGTATAAAACTCTTTGCTTATTTCTACAAGTGATAATATTATCATCTTATACATTGAATTATGTGGTCTTATAGATATCTCTCCCACCGTAAATACGGTTATAACAATCAATTTTCGCAAGCTACTAACAACATGGGGACCACAACGTCCCTGCATCCTTGTCCTAACCAACTTTGGGTCATTATGCATACAAAATAGTTTCCACAATATCATCGTACTCAGAGGCTCTCATATTTGAAGTTTGCCGAGAATTATCTCCTATATCCCGATATTAGAACACCATAACAATGAAAGCCATTGTTCAGGCTATAGAGAGCCAGTTACCGACATTGGATGCGCCCGATGTGTCGAAGTTTCCCTATAACAACACTGTATTAGACATTAACTTGGATTCTTAAACACTGGAATGGAATGTGTAAATAAAACTAAAACTTTATTTTGTTTATTTATCCCATACGTAGTTATTGCGTTTCAGGCTCATATTTTACCTTAAAATGTAGATGACGAACTCCAAGCACTATCCTTACTTACTAATATTATAAATCGGAAAGTGAGTTTGTTTGTTTGTTCCGCTTTCACGCCGTAACTACTGAACCGATTGCTTTGAATTTTTGCAGACGTAAAGTTAGAAGACTGGATTAAATAATAGGGTACTTTTTATCCTGGAAAAATTTGATATCCTCAAGGAAAAACGAAATCATTGGTATAGATGGCGCTGTGTAAATATGTCACATAGGCTACTTTTTATCCTTTTGTGACGCGAGCGAAGCCGCGGGTAAAAGCTAGTTTAAAATAATTTATTTGTTTAAATGTGACAAAAAATTTTTTAACCTACATTGAAATTAGTGACCTACATTTAATTCTTATGATTTCTTTACATTAAATTCTCTAAAGTCTATATTAAAATGCAGTTCACCTTATTTACACAAAACATTAAGAATCGTATTGAAATAATTTACGAACTGTGCTTGATTCTCAGAAGAATATTGCGGGTACTTCTCAATAGGTTTAAAGTTTCAAGATGGTCATAACTTGGGCTTATTTGAGCAGACTCCTTTTGAAGCAGTTATCGGAATAAGTACTTAAAGTTTTATTGAACAGAGCGAGCGCTGGGAGAGTCCCTATTTTATTTATTTATTATGTTCACTAAAGTAGTTAGTGGAGTTGTCGTTATTTTTTAATACTCTTAAAGTGTTCATTGGAATTGCCCATTTTATTTTTTGTAACTATATTTTTTGATAGATGGTGTAAGCTCATAATTATTTATAAACAACTAGGATAAGTACTATGTGTTAACAGTTATAAGGAACAATGGGTTTGATATGTTAATTTTAACCAAAAACCCTAAATAAATCTAAATAATAAAAAAGACCAAGTTTAACCACCAATAAGTTTTGTTGTTTGTTTTAGGTCCCACTTGAAGTCTCCAGACCGACATTTTAGGTGATAGAATAATGCTGTAAATGAATCATTTTATATTTAAAAGTGAAAAATAAATTCTGTTCCACACTTCTGCAATCTTTGGATGTTTATACAAAATGAGGCAATAGATATTGAGTGTAAGCAGGGCAGTCGTTTACACATAATTTCATACTACTAGCTCTAATTCCGCGTCATTTCTGATCGGTAACTGTTATGATTTTGATTAAATCCATTCTGCTTCTATTGATCAAGTTGTTTCACTAACTATATCGTTAGCTAAGTGGGTAAATGCTGCTGCCAATTATCGTTCCTGTTTTGAAGTGTAGGATAAAGTATTATTGGTTATATTCTTTTCTTTTTCCTAAAAAACATTGCCCCAACCTAGGATTTTCTCCTGAGTCGTGGGTGCGATTACGAACATACAAGTTCACATACACATGACACCTTGACGTGGAACATCAATTTGTGGATCACACAAGGAGTTGTTCCGTGCGGGAATCGAACCCGCTACACGTAGCACGGCAGCCAGTTGCGCCAACCGTGCAGTCAGTTATCACTACATAGTATAAATCAAAGTCTACCCGCCGTCTGTCTGTCCCTATGTATATGCTTAGATCTTTAAAACTACCAAACGGATTTTGATGCGGTTTTTGTTAATAGATAGAGTGATTCTTAAGGAAGGTTTATGTATAATACACGCATATTGCACCTGTGCGAAGCCGGGGCGGGTCGCTAGTTCATAATATAATTATTAGTCTTCATTTGTTAGACTAACTTGTCATTCAAATGGTGATAGGCGCAAGCTAGCACCCCTACGAGTCAGACGAAGTGTTTGTTGGATCCTCGATTTTATAAAATTGTTATTAACTTTATAAGTTTAGTATTTTGCCTAATGTAAAGAATAGGATCACCTGTTTAGTGTGGGCCCATAACATTACAATTGAAAACTAGGTAGCTCATTTAATATATATCTATACCTATTTTTAGGAAAATAAAAGGCGTCAAATAAATTTAAATCATAATACAAGGTAATACAGTTTCAAACTTTAATGGAGTTTTTAAATGAAGTTAGTGTTGTTACCGCTTTCACGTGAGCTAGTTTCAGAATGGTGTTTATGCATCTCTTGGGGTGCACCGTGAGAGTGTATAGTACTTTTCTTAATTAGACATAATAAGTTTGGGTATGTCCTGATTCTTTGCTGGTGAAATTAAATTATAGTAGTAGCTCTACAATTTTTGCTTATTTGTGACATAATAACTTGGCGTTTTAGAATACTAAATGAAAAGAAACATAATGACTCTAATTTAAAAAAAGTGAAAATTAAAATATCTTAAAATATTATATATTATAACTCCGAGAAAGACAGACTTCCACATCAGTCTTAAAATACATTCTTATTTCAGTATATTAGTATCTACAATCCATGACCTTTCGGATATTACATCATTTACAATAAAACTCAATATACAAAAGTAAATAATTTATTAAATGAAAACAATAATTTAACGTAGGTACTAAAAGTAACTATTTCAAAGTAAAAATAATTTAAACTGACTAGAGGCAGTTCAATACAGACGTATTAGTTTTAGGGCCGATTTTTCAATCATCGGTAATTCCTGTAGAATAAAATTGACATTTTGACTGTTTTTAGTATGGAAGAGTTGTCAAATATTCAAAGTTATTCCTCGGTTAATCTAGCGTTGGAAAAATCGGCCCTTAATAAGTTAAAATGAATTCTAATTTTATTATTACATGAAGAAAGATAGTGAGACAGACTGATTGTGTATTATGATAAGAATGTGGGATACTTTATAAATAAAAATGAAACAGAGATAGAGTAAAAAATGGAAAGGATCTAATCAAATAAATAATTATTTCATAAACTATGTTTAAAAAATCCAACTTCAACCCCTCTTGTTTCGAAGTCCGTTTTTTTATATTAGACGGGACTGACGTTTGACCACTATCTCGCCTGATGGTAAGCGATAATGCGGCCTACGATGGAGCACGTCGTCCCATAAGCAACCTATTCACTCGGACCTTGAGGACATCCTTTCAGACAGACTCTGGCAAAGAATTCCACTCCTTAGCAGTATGCACAAGGAAGCTTGATGCGTAGCGCTTTGTGCGTGTGGGTGGGACATCTACCATGAATCGGTGACGCTTTGCCGAATGTCTTGTGGTACGATGATGGAAAATACTAAGGAGAATCAAGTTGTGCAATTCCCCCACACACTCAGTCAAATATATCCAATAGAAGACCGTTGGTTATGTTGGTTATGGTAGGTACTAAATCCTTTTATTAAGTGTATCAAACTCTTTTCTGAAAACTATAAAAATCGGTTCAGCCAACCGCGAGGTAATCGCGTACCTACTTACAAACATAAACATATACATACATATAGGAGGTCAAAATAAAAAACTCCTTTTTTTGAAGTCGGATAAAAAGACGTCTTACAATAATATTTTGTTCATATTCGATGGCACTATTGCTTACAATGTACTTAATAGATAACATAAAAAATAATCAATATGGTCGCTTCTGAAAACATTCTTATCTCAATGAAATTATGAAACTCATTGGTTCAGCATAAGCTAATTCAAATATCCAAAAAAAAATTGATTGTAAGTACAATAAAAAAACAGTCCAGACACTAAGAATCTAAGGTTGAGTCTTGCTAAACAACCAATTAAACCCATTGCTGACATCAGCAATATTAGGTAGAGAATCCTGAGGTTGGAACGGCTCTGGTTCTCCAGGCTCATAACTATACCCAACAGTGTTGTACTCCTGGGGAGGACCGTACATCATTGAAGAGCCAGAAGGACCTGACTGGTTCTTCATGTAGTAATTGAGGAGTACTCCCCCCAAATAGAAGACTTTTTGGAAGAACGCCACCAGGAAGAAGAATGATGCCACTTTTACTACTGCCAGCTTTGATAGCACTACAAGCGCTGCGATGGCTGAAACAAATAGAAATTTCTATTAGATATATCGGATAATTAAATATTCAAATGTCAATATAGATGTTTGATTCTAGGTACGACTGCCTCGGTGGCCGAGTGGTCGCAAGTGCGACTGCTGGGTAAGGGGTCTCGGGTTCAATTTCCAGGTAAGGCAAAGTATTACTGGGTTTTAAAAAAAATCTATAATAGTACGGAGTGTGGAATTGTGCTCGGCATATGGCAATAGGCTCACCCCCTATCACATGGGACTCACAACATAAATATCAAAAAGTGGGTGTTACAATGCACAGTGGCTTTAAGTGCCGTAATGTGCACCTCTGCCTACCTTTACGGGGATAAAAGGCTTGATGTTATGTTGATTCTAGGTACGATTAGTGCCATAAGTAAGAAATCCTTATCGATATACAATTTTGTCATAAAGTTCATACAAGATTAAGAATATCTCTTGGTAAAGACTACATAACTCTAAGACCAAATTCTGTCAGAAGTCATTATTGTACGCGGACGAAGTCACGGGCAACAGCTAGTTTACAATAATCCAAAGATTATAGATTGAAATCGGTTTTTAATTTTGGCCATTAATAAAATTAATTCTAATTATACCTAATTGAAATACATTTTCCTTAACCATTAACAATTTACTTCTATAATTCTCAAAGAAAATTATAGAAGTAAAAAAGTAAACTACTTTCACAAAATCGACCTCAAATCCCTTTTTTATTGAAGTCTCGATTAAAAAACATGTAGTTACACTTATACAATTTTGAAGACAGCGCCATCTACTGTCATGTATCAGAAAACGTTTTTGTTAATATCTATGAAAAAGTATTTACACTTAATTTTTTAAAGTAACATCTAATATTTTAAGAGAATAATTTGTGAGACCATTAGCTCTTAGGGCTGTAGAACGTACCTAAATAAATTAGGTTCTAATTGCATTGTCAGGACTAAGTAAATCTTTGGTGGTCCGCAAATTGCTGTAACAGTTTTATTTAATTAATTCCCGTCAGGAAATATATGAAATTGTGTCAGCCACTGAATCTACTAGTGGATAGCGAGGTACCCAAAATAAGGTTAGGTCTCTGTGATTAAATTAGGTAGCAGGACTAGATTGTTAATTAGTTTTGAGACAAGAAAATGTAATGAAATATGTTTCCTGGAAATTGAATTGTTTTGCGCTAAAACTACGTTTATTATTTTAATTTTAATTTTATATGATGAGGTTTGATGTACTAATACTAGTTTATAAGTTGTGTATGTCTTTACTAACCATATGGATTGTATTATCTGAATAAATAAATTGATTGATTGATTGATTGATTATTTGAGTGACAATATTATTTTAGAAAATAGAGTTTAAAAAATTACAGATTTTTTAACCGACTTTAAATAAGGAAGTTCTCAGTGTGACATGCATGTATGTATGTTTGTGCGCAATTATCTCGTTTTGGGCTGAACCGATTATGATGCGGTTTTCGGAAAGTTTATTCCACTTACGAGAAGGTTTAAGTATTAATTAACCGACTTCAAAAAATAGGGGTTTGAAATCAGTTTTTGAAACGTAGTTTATAAAAGAATTATTCAGAATTTAATCAAAATCTTTTATTACCAACTAGCTTCTGCCCGCGACTTCGTACGCGCAATCCCGTTTTCTCCCGTTCCCATAAGATTTTCAGGATTGTTTTACATTTATAAGAAACTCCACAACAAAAAAAATCAGCCAAATCGGTCTAGGCATTCTCAAGTTATGGCGTGACAACGGGAAACGGGTTTCATTTTTATATAAAGAAATCAGATTTTAATTAAATCCTGAAACAATATCAGTAATTTACTACAGGAAAATAAACTGACTTTCACAAAGGTAAATACAAATTAACTGTTTATATAAACGAATAACTATCGTTAATTAAAAATAAGTACATAGTCACACACAGCTTTTCGACACAAAACGAAGCCAATATTTTCAACTAACATTATTGGAAAAACGGAAGTCATTACCTTTCAAAATACAACTTAAACTTGGTTGAATAGGATTGGTTTTCCAATAACAAGGCTATCCGGAAAACAGAACGTCTATAAATTGTATTGACGAGATGAAATGTCAACCCGAATGTAGTTTCCATTACGGAAATTGTATCAATTTCAAGTTATCTCCAAGCTTGGGATCTATCTTAATCTTGATTAAACCTTGTACTTATTTGTTACCGTAATAGTTTAGGTAATTGGTGGATAACCGCAGTTAAGGTATGGTAATGATAGTTCAGTTTTGGGACATTTGTTCCAAGTTGGATTGGAGAGAGCATCGTTTGTTCAACGAGCACGCTACTAAGTATTTTGACTATATTCTTAACTAAATATTAAGAAAACTACTTTGACAGTGGTCGGATAGTAATCAAAGTAGAAGTAAAGCATCTCGTTATGAACTTAAATGAAAAGAAGTTCTACGCAAATAGAAAAATAATTATGTTCATTGCTTCAAAGTACTGCTTTAAATTATTTTACTTGATTCCTCCGTCATTTCAAAGATTTAGTATTCATTTACGCTGGTACCTTTTCTCTCGCAAAAACACGGAAGCATGATTTACGAGCTCATTTTATGTTCCAATGAACATCGTCATAACTCCCAGAAATTCAGACTACAAAAGATCTCTTTGATTTGTTCGGTTGTAAAAACACTCCAATTAAATTAACTACTCACCCAAAAGTCTTAAGGTTCCTTTCTTTTTCTTCGCCCTCGCTTCCTCCGGTAATTGTTCATTGCTTTCCAAACAATAACAACACACTAATAACGTCAAAATTACGATCACTTTCTTCATCATTCTGGAAAATTGATTTTTAATCTGTATTTAAATTGAAAATTATTTAATCTGTGTTGGCGCGCTTTCTGACAGTTGACAGTTCGGGTTTTTTAATCCAAAATTATGGAGCAACGAAATCGATATCAGTGTTCCCCAAGTTCTGTTAAAAACTTTGCGGGTAAATATAAAATGTTTGAGTTTTAAAAAGTTTTGGCGTGTTGGAAATATATTTTACACTTTTCCCGAACACCGAACTGTGCGGTTTGCGTTCCCGTAAATAAATAAGTATTGGTTAGGTGTGTGGCATTCGTAAATTCTTTTCTCGAAGAAAGTTTGTTCATTGTTTCCATAACTTAAAGGAAACTGTGTCGAGTTTTCCTTTCTGTGACTAATTTACATGTGAGGAAATAATTATTATGTTCTTTTGTGTAACTTTCGCGTGCCATACGTTTTGCTTGTATTTAAATTTTTACGTTTGTTTCAAAAAATTTCACCGTAATTTACATTTGAATGGCAGTTATTGAATATTAGGAATGAGTAATGGGTACTTATTCACGAAATATATGTGTTTTACTTGCTCCGTTATATCTTGGTGAGTCGTGAGAGGACGTGGTGTGCATTAATATTTTAAATTTAATTTAAGCCCGTCTTAATTATAAATTCATGCATATTTTGAAGGCATTCCGAACCAGCCAAGCCTATTTTGATGGACAACATTGGCACGCTTGAGCTTAGTGCTGACGTCTTACGTCATTGCTTCGGTCAGGACAATGGCCTCGCTACAAGATCACTGTCTTTCATGAAAGGTACAGAAATCTGCCAAGACGATTATTTATGTAGGTACATAAATAAAAAAAATGTCTGAGTAATATCCTATCATTCAAACACATCAGTCGAACAATAAGATAAACATCTATTTGTAAACATAAGTAGCTTTGAGTAGAAACATTAGAACTAAAGCGATTCCATTTAAATGTAATCTATTCAGATCTTACCATCAAAGCGAATGGAAATGTTAAGGAAAGTCTCGTATTTAACCTCTTTATGTAAGCGGCACTTTTCTTGGTAAGTTCTTATAAATTTGTACACTATTTATGAATAAGTAGATGTAAAAATCAGAAAGTGAACAAAACGTACACCCTAACGGTGGAAAAAGGCTAAAGATAAAGATTTAAATGCCTTATCAGTGTAGCAGTTGCGAATGCGACTGTAGTGTATAATTCCTTTTAATGTTCTCAGTAGTAGAAACAATTCTTAAATGTTATCTAGATTTTTTATAATTCTGGAAAGACCAGAAAAACCTTAATCGATATATTTTTAAATCATTCAAACTAAATTAAACAGTCAAACACCGCAACGACACCGGTGACCGCAACCTTTTAATTGTGTCTATAATGACGTATCTACTCAACGAGTTAAGGCTTGTAATGAAAAAGATCAAACCCCCGCGAAGTCCAGCAACTATTCCACAATACCCTTGACTCAAGAACAGTTAAAATCAATACATAAATTAAACCACTGGCTCACCAATAACCTCAAACCTAAAATTAAGTCTGAATTTCGCTAGCAACCAACACTGTTCGCTTAAAACGGTCTCAAATTTCGTCTGTCAGTCGCTATTTAGATTTAGTACGGTCATTAGCGCTCGTCTTTGTGGCTCGTGGCTAAACAACCTATCAACAAGTGTTGATTTACATTTTAGTTTAGCTTTAGCTAAATTCTGTTCTTACCGTTTTGGATTTTAGACAGCCACGTGTAACGTAGGTTGTAACTTTGTTGGATGTAACCAAATATCTGCTTAAAAGTTTTGTGTACATTGAATTATATCTACATGTAAAAACTAAGTTGTTGTAACGAAATAATAAATTGTAAGGTGGACGATAATTGGTCTTCGATAGCTTAATCATCTCAAACCGTTGCTTTCAATCGCATGTCAAAAATCAAAGTCAAAATTATTTATTTCAATTAGACCAAGAGGGCACTTTTGAACGACAAAATAAAATATTTAAATATTAAAGTAAAATTTCAGACTGTCGGTCAGTCCTCTAGTAAAGCTATTTGCTCGTTCCAAAGTGTAGATTCCTATGGAGAAGAACGAGCAAGAAACTCCATGCATTCCCATCTATCTGTATCACGTTGGCATTAAAATTGGTTAAACGAAAGCAATAATTCGCAATAAATCAACTTCGTATTTATAATATTTGCTAATAATTATCATTTTACCCAATACCATTAAACCGTTTCACGCTCAATCATACATCGCGTTTGTGCACGAATAAATACACAATTCGAACTGCTAAATGTCATAAAATACAATTTATTTACTTAATACAAATTCTGGATAAGCACACAGCTATTTGCTAACTGCCAATCCGGGTGCAAATAATGAACGCAACAATTTCGTTGAAATGAAACGCTCTGCAAGTCTGCATTTAAAACGCAGCTCGAAGCTTAGCGAGGCGATATTACCAGCACAGCTAATAGAAAGCATAAATTATGTAAGCGTCGCAGCCAGTGATGGGGAAACAACCCGGGAAATTTGGCACCAGACAGTCCGGGATGTAGCTGAATGCAACGACGCTGGTGTACTTTACGACTGCCTCGGTGACACTTTTTGTTCACATTTGTGTTAAGTTACAAAAGTAACTGATAAAATAAAATCAGAAAAATGTATTTTTATTTATTTAAATGTGCTTAACAGGCACAATACAATGCCATGGTTACAATCACATTACAACAATAATACTGTATGTCAATGTAAAATTTCTTAATAGCTAAATTCTAAAACAAACAGAACTGTTTTGGTACCATTCGCGACAATTTTTGTCATCAAATGAGTACCCTTACAATGCGACAAACAATAACTGTTTCTCTAGAACTCAAGCAAAATAAAGCTAATTAATAACAATATATTATCAAAGCGAGGCTAATTATACAAAGCATAAATTATGTAAACGTAGCGTCCTCAACTCCTCGTAATCCCAACTACTGCAGCACTCCGAGAATTCCGGGAATTTCGTGTCCGTATTAGAGTTACTGTATGAAAACTCAAATACATATTTAACTAGATAAGAAATCACGGTACAGACTTAAAACGGTATTTAAATCAAAGCCTATGTATTTTGCCAACTCCCTTTTTTTGTGTAAAAACATTTCTTAATCAAAGACATGTTAACATATATATAATTTATATCAAATTTTACTTTGAATAAGCACTTTGCTAACTCTCAACTTAAACAACTATTTCAATAAATACTTAAACAACGACCCAAACATTTATCAATAAATCCCGGGACAGTATCCCGCGGTATCCCACCACTACGGCCAGAGCAAAGCTTCCAGATTTTTATTGAATTTTACCTTATTTCAAGCTCATTCCGTTCATTGCGAACCGCCCTGATTTCCAGTTAACTATTTTAAAGTGTAATATTTTAACCGGTTACGAAAGAGGCACTCGTTGTTTTATTTTTTTTAATACAATTCTCTTTTCGCTTTGGTTTGCTGGGTGATTGTGTTTAGTGAATTAATGTTTGCTGTTTAATGTTATATTAAGGATGCTATTCTACAAATTCTAAGATTAGGTATTCGTTTCGTCTTATTGTTTAGTAAGACTGATTTGATTTCTGGATCAGCCTGATTAACACAAGTAGGTATATTATTAATACTTAGAATGATTATGCGTTTTCTCCTTGTCACATAAAACCCATATGTTTAAGTTGACCATTGTCTGAATCATACTTTATGGACTATGGTGTAACATAATTACAATTCGATATCATATATTGTTTTATTAACGTTGCCCCACACTAGGATTTTGTCCTATGTCGTGGGTACGTTTACAAACATACTATTTCACATACACATACCACCCAGACCCAGAACAACAATTTGCAATCACACAAAAAGTATTTCCGTGCGGGAATCGACACCACTACACGTTGCGCGGCAGGCGGTTGCCCGGCCACCACACCAACAGTGCAGTCAAATTGTGTATTTTTAGATTTCATGAATAGATTTCTTCTCAAAACAAAACTCAAGTACAATATTGAGCAGTATCATGGTGCACGCACACACAACGTTGCCTCTCATTACGAATTCAACACCGTCCTCAACACTTGTGCTGAACTCTGAATAATTTACGCAAAGCACACGTACACTGTACATTCATAAATTACATTCGTAGTACTTTCTACACAAATATGTGTGTAATATTGCATTTCACACACCTTTGACCTACAATGTAAGCAGACGTAAGCTTTGATAATATTATAGAAAACTGTCTTATTGTTGTATCTGTAGGACAATAGTTTTCAATTTCTAAATATAGTATGTTTCCATTGTAAACACAAGACCGATCTAGTCTTGATTTTATAGGACATTATAGGATTCATATAGGTATGCCTAATAGCATCATAAGTAACAACTCGACAATGAACATTGAATATTGAAGTTCACAAATACTTTTCTCTTTAACTGAGTTTATGTTATTTTAAGGACTGTCTCGTTGCCCGAGTGGTCTTAAGTGCGACTGCTAAGTAAGTAGGCAAGGTTTCTGGGGTTCGATTCCCAGATCGGACAAAGTAATATTGGGTTTTTAAAAAAATTCTCACTAGTAGCACGGAGTCTGGAATTGTGCCCGGTATACGGCAAGTGAAAGCGAAAAGTAGGTGTTACATTGTACAGTGATCTATTGTGCTCCTCTGCCTATTATATATATATATTTTACTTGGAAAATCTGCGAATCGTTCCTCCATTTTTCAGGGTTTAAGAATCTAAAGACATCGTTTACTATCTACATCCTCAATACAAGTAATAAACTCAATATTAAACCTCTCCACAGAGTAAAACTATCCGGTACGTGGAACACGCAAAAAGAAGTATGTAACTGCATACTGCGGTGGCAGACGGCGGTAATACCGTGGCGTGCACCGGCACGGCAACGGCATGGCCCTGGAACGGCACCGGCACGGGCCGGATTCCTGCCGTAATGAGCAGTGCATTCCGCGGCGCGAGCTGAAACATAAAACCCTATAAACGCTGCCTAGACTACTGTGGCTATGTCTTCTCGAGTGTTGAAAAAATATCCTGCTCTAGTTTTTTTACTGTAAATAAAAATCTAGTATTTTTGTGAACATTCCTTTTGAGTCTATCAAAAAGGTAAATAGAACTGAAATAATATGATTATTCTGGTATACAATTTTCTAAATGTCGTAGTAGCGTTCTTTGTTTTTTACAATGGGCTAAAAAATCGGGTAAGCTTATATAA